TCTTCAAGGCACCAAAAGCTTCATAAATGGATGGAAGATGATAGGGGAGGTCGAAAGGGTCAAGATGGTGAAAGGGAGGCTAGGGTTTCTCTCAAGATGATCTAGATATGATGGAGGCTCATAAAATTCCCTAAAAACATGGAACTAAACCTTATATATGTTGAAAACCCTAAAACTCGTGGGCTTGAGCTGCACAGTTCTCATGTCGTGAGCTCCTAATGCTCCTTCCATGAGCACAATTTAAATCATAATTTTCGTTTAATCGCTTCTCACGCCGTGAGCTCCAACTGCTCATGTTATGAGCTCATTTTTCCCCTAAATCCTTTCCAACTTCGAACAATCATAGCTTCTTCGTTTCAACTTCGAATTCGGCATTCTTTATATCCACGAAAGGTCTTGAAGAGCTCTACACTTCTATATTGATACTTTTGGCTCACCACACATCCAACTTAAAACCTTAACCCTCGCAAGCGGCCTGACACATAATTTTCCCCATTCCATCCTCCGTTCTAAATACATGATTCATAGGCCTTGATCTTATTACCAACAATAACTTCTTTCAATAAAGCCCAAACCTTACTTCCTTAAAAGCCCCACAGTCTACGATCCTGAATCACAGAACAATCCAAAAACGGTAGTTACATTACAATTTCAGCTCGGGCTAGATCCCGTTGATTGAAAGCAACATCTAACCGATTTTCAATAAGCAACTTAGCATCTTTTTCTAGTTTCAGATCTGTTTCTAACATAGTGACCTTAAGCTTCTTGTCGTCTAGTCTTCCTCTAAAGTGGTACAACTCTTGGGTCGTTATGTCCTTCTCATCTAAGGCTTTGTTATAATCTGAAAGGACATCAACACACGTTTGAATAAGTTTTTCTAGATGTGATTCACAATCATGCATGTTATATTTTTTTGACTAAATCATAAATTTTACATGTTCAACGATACTGATGTTCCCTTCCTTTTCCATGAAGCAATAGTTATTCTTCAACTTTCCGGTGTCCTCATTCTTTCTTGCAACCAGACACAACTTGCCTCATTTCCTTTGGATTTCATTGTCCATATCTTCATCTCTCGAGGACCATACTTGATGGTCTCTTCTTACTTGTGCCACAAATGCTTTCTTAATCGCTCTCTCCTTCTCTTTAGCCTCTTGAGCCATTCTCAAATAGAATGCTTTGTCTTTTACAACATTAGTTTTGCAGTTTCTTGCGAAGTGATTTTCTTTGTGACACTTATGGCATATGAGGACTCCTTCATTCTTCTCTTCGGTGCCATCTGCGGTGTCGGATGATTTGTCATCTTTTAGTGCTTCAGTGGAGTTAGTGAGCATTAAAGGTGTATTCTAAGACTGTGTTTGGTAGGGTGGATTTCTGGGAGCCCCTTAACGATGAGGTTGAATCTTTTGAAGGTGTATTTCGAGACTGTGTTTGGTATGGTGGATTTCTGGGATATCTGGAGGGATGAGAATAGTGTTGATGAAAGTTGTTTTGTGGATTGTAGTTGAGGTTAAAAGGAGGTCTGGTGAACTGTTGATTTTTACGGTAGTTGGGTAGAGGGATCCTGTTGAACTGTGTTTGGTATTGTGGATTTCTGGGATATTTGGAGGGATGAGAATAGTGTTGATAAGAGTTGTTATGAAGATTGTAATTGAGGTTAAAAGGAGGTTTGGTGAACTGTTGATTTTTACGGTAGTTGGGTAGAGGGAGCCTGTTGAACTGTTGACTAACTAGGGCCAAAGCATGTTGAAAAGCTTCTTCGTCATTAGGTTGCATCTCTAGTTCATATGACTGCAGCATGTCCCCATATGGGGTTTGGTATGATGACTCTCCGGTAGGAGGATACTGAGGAGTTAGGTTGGAAGACTGCGGTGAGTAAGCAACCAAGGCGAGTGGTTCCCCAAGATCCATGCAGTCCTTCATCACTGTAGAGTTTTGAGCTTCTAGTTCATCGTAGAGTTTGTATAAAGACAAAGTTTTGATCTTGTTGTCATCTTGAACTATCATCTTTGCCATGGTCCACTGCTTTCCTAAACCATTCAGGAACTATAGATTTGTTTCGTGATCACTTTGATTAATGCATGCATTTGAGAGTTTGGTGACGACGAGGTTGAATCTTTTGAAGGATTCATCAAGAATTTCACCAGGGAGAGCTTTGAAGCTGTTGGAATAATTTAAGGCGGTGCTCAAATTCTTGTCTTGAACTTGCTTTGTTCCTTCATATAGATTCTTTAGAACATCTCAGATTTCCTTTGCAGATTTACAATTAATAATAATATCAAAACTATTAGGAGGAACTCCACATGAGATTTCATAGAAAGTAATTTCGTCTTTCTCCATCTTTTCAATTTCATTGTTGGTAGGTCTAGTCATGGCAACTTGACCACCTCCAAGTCTGTTTGAGTTCATTGGTGACAATGGGTGTAAGGACAGGTACATATGGTCCTTTTTCTACAGATCTCCAAACTTCCTTACCAAGTCTCCTTAAATATATTTCAATACATTGAGACCAATGATGATATTCACTTGCAACAAGTATTTGAGCTCGATTAGAACCTCAAACAATGTTAGATACATTTAATGAGTAAAGTTGTGACATTTTCCTTGTTTGAAAAAGATGAGCTAAGTGGTATATAAGGCCTTTTAAATCAGAGTATTTCTTTAGAAAAGATTATGGATTTTCAAAGAAAGTTAAAAAGCAACCACTATGGCTCTGATACCAATTGTTGAGAGAAGAACTATAAATGAACACGAGATTATGATGCAGAATGAAAGTTAATCTCTAGGATCTTATGAAGCTCAACACTAATAATAAGTAAATGAATTTGAGAAGGAAACATGATCACAATATACTTCACTAAATATATGAAAACATAAACAATACTTGTTGAATCATATCTAGGTTTGCATTTAACACAAGACATTATAAAGTGAACAACGAAGTAAGAACAATGAAGAACTTAAAGATAATGATAAGGAGATTTCTATTTTCACTTGAATGAGTTACAAGGAAGATGAAGATCAAACACACTTTTAAACAATTACAATACATGTATATTTATAGGACGAAGTGGTACATGCCCCTAAATAAGATAATACTAAAGTAATCTCTGATTAAGACGTTCATGCCTCCCATGCTTGGACTGTCAACACCAACTTAACACACAATATCAGAAAGGTGATCATTACTTTACTAACACTGAGGTATCCACAAAACAACAAAATCTTTAACTCTTCGCTTCTTCATTAACTTTGGTATCTAACTCTGCAGTCAATCCTTTAGAAACTCAACTCTTCGCCAACATATCTATCATTGAACTCTTCGCTACATCAAAACAAGTCTTCGCTTCCATTTATTCTTCCTAGCTGCCGATGGTCACTTTCATGTAACAACAATATATAAAGCGTGACCCTGGGATTTTAGAGGCCTTGTGCAAAAATTAAATTAAGGACCGATACATTTCTTGTAAAATATTATTAATGAAGTTTCTTACTGCTAAAGACATAAAGAGTCCACCACTTGATCACAAATCAAAATTCTATAAAAATGTGATAATATATTCTCTACGTTCTTTTTCAAAGATTGAACATTATCAAAATTTATAGTATTATTTTCAAATACATTTTGCTCAACTGAACAAATTTTTCGTTATGAAATTTTGATATATTTTTTTCTATAAGATATGCAACTGAATTAATAATTTCATTCTTGTTAATCCACTTAAAATTGTGATACTTTTCATATACTCAATTTGACCTTATAGCTAAATACATTTTCAAAAGTTGAGTCAGGCTTTGGGGCTTTAGTTTCGTAGTGTAAATGTTTATATACCGGTGTCAGATTCTAACTGATGTTGATAACATATTTAACAAATATAATTTTTATTGTTAATAGTATAAATGAGATTTGTAATATGCAATTATACTTTAATTAACATATTATTATTATTTTCTTCTAATTCTTTTTAGTAATCTCCATATTCCAATAAAAGAATAGTTTTGTTCTCTTTTTGCCATGTGTCACCCTATTAAGCCTCCTAATTAATGTTATGCTACTTGTCAACCTATTGATTCTCCATTTTAAATTTTAAATTTCTCATTCTAATTACAATAAATTAATAACATTATAATAAAATTAAAAATAATATTAATACAAATTATAATGTGATATAATTTCATGTATTTATTTAAATTAATGATTATAATTTTTTATAACTAAAAAAATATCTTTTAGCCAATAATTTATTTAAATAATTGATTAATAATTTTAAGTTTTTAGTAAGAAATTTTAATTAATTTTATAACTGTGGTTTCCATATGTTATAAACTAATATAATATTAAATAAATTTCTCAACCGAAGGTCCTTTACAATTGGAGGCCCCGTACGACCGCACATCCGCACGACCCCCAAGGCCACCACTTCTTGTGTGTTAAACCAAAATGTTCTATTCAAATGTTAAATGTTGGTGATTCTTGTGATATAAACATTTAATGTAATTGGAATTTACACTAGTGCTAAGTGCGTTAAGACTACGATCTTTAGTTTGAATCTTTCAGTTTTGTACCTAAAACACGAAGTTGGTATCTTTTAGATCATCTAACGACTGGTTCGTGATATATACACATGCATTTGGTCGAAACATACTTGAAAAAAAGTGAAAGAACACGATTTAACACAAATTAGAAACCGAATGTTTCAAAGTGTCGGTTGTAAATAACATAAAATTTTATACCTTCGACTTCCACTCTATTCCTTTATCACTCTATAGAAAATGGCATCGGTGGCGGATTTATTAGCGAAGGGAATATGTTGCTTAAAAACCCACCTCCAGGCTACAGTTCAGCGATAAAATTAGTTTTACAAATTGATGCTTTCTAAATAGAAACATGAAAATAAATGGATAATTAAGAGAATCGCGTCTATTTATTTCATGTAATAGAAATTACTCTTAAGATTATACCCCTTCAGTTTATTCTAAGGATTACAAGTAGTTATTAATCAGACTTTCTTTTTGCGTAGAAAAGACCAAACATTTGGGGAAGCGGAGCAAATCTTTCCGTTGAAGCGGTAGCGGTGTGCTGCCAGCTGATCATGGTAATTACTAGGCGGTGGTGGCGGGTGTTGTGGTGGCCAAAGAAAAGCCCCCATTGCAAACTCCCTTTTGGACTCCAAATCACGGTGGCCACTGGCGGACAGACCATATTGAGCAAGTAATTGGTCAAGCATCCACTCTGGTAGTTCCTTGTACTCGTCCTTTGTGTACCTTGGGTAGTGGAGTGGCATTTGGAAATTAGAACCACCACTGCCACCGTCACTGGTGGTGGCAATATTCTTTCTCCTGCCGTCCATTGTCAAAGTCAATTTGGTGGATTGGGGTGTTTTATGGTGGTGATGATGGATTTATATTTGTGATATGGCCTGACTCACAAAAATCGTGTGGTTTACCTTCCCATGCAATACTTATAGGTTCTCCTAACGTGATTTATATTAAGGTGGGGACATGAAATTGGAACAACGTTATTTAAAGGAAAAATAAAGGATTTTTTAGTGGTCGAGTACGAAAATATATGAAGAAGGCATAAGGGATCGTTGATTATATTTTTATTTATGGATTTGAAAACTCTTTAAATTATACTTAGATGTGTTTTCGCGTAAAGTGACAGTGATAACTAGCTATTTTGGTGAATATTCTTACGTAAAAATAATTATTTGATTTTATTATTAGTTATTACGTAATAAAAAAATTATCAGTTTTAAATTAAATATTTATGTTTATACCTTATATTTATATTGTATGTTTATACATTTGATGTAAAGTAATTAATAGCGGTATCTAATTTAAGAAATATAAATTAAATTAAATACATGAATTTGATATTTTAAATTTGTTATTTTGCTCTAAATTGAATTTCTTAATAACATTTCTTAATTCAAGTGTTTAAACTTTCCACAAATATTAATGATTTATTTATCCATAATTGATTTGTACAAAAAACTTTGTAACTTATATATGGTAAAATTTAGATATGACTAATATGCTTTATAATATAATATAAAATTTTGAACTTAAATTTCTATCCATCTAGTATTTTAAGAGTAAATTACAGTTTTGGTCCATATTGTTTGCATATTTATGCATGTTTAGTCATATTTTTGAAAAATTGATGCTAATTGTTCTCATGGTTTCAAAATCCAAAAACGTTAGTCCCTTAGGCAGTTACCTTCCATATCCCTCCGTTAAGTATGTATGAAATGATAAAAACGCCCATGTGTTGTCATTTTTGGTACTTTACAACAATAACAATAACAAAACCCAAGTCCCATAAAAGTGAGGTAATAGGCTTTTTGGTATTTTCACATTTCTATTTTTCTCAAAGACCATATATATAAAAATTGAAAAGAATCCTTAAAAGCTCCTGGTATCGTTAAATATGCTTGTGATGTTATAGGCTAATGTTCTTAGCGTGTAATGTTGCGATAATGGAGACTTTGTGTTTGTTGTTTGTTGTTATTTTTGTTTGGTCATTGTTGTATAAGTTGCTATCAAAAAAGTTCTTTTCACTCACTCATTTTAATTTTCACAAAATCATATCACCATGGCTATTATTCATCCAACTAGCTCACTTCTACCTTCAAGCTTAAGTGTAAATCGTTTGCCATTCGATCATGCTAGTGCTATGAATTCTTTTCCCATCTTATGTCGAACATAAATCCCATTGATCAACATATAAACTATCGTCATAGTATGTTGTTCTTTAGATCTTGAATTCAACGAATGTTTGAATTGACGAAGGGGCTATAGATTTTGCCTCTTTACACTTTAGTTGTCATTTGTTTTGAATAGAAATAGATCTCCATAGACAAACAATTATTGCCCATTGACTCAATGATAGGCTTAACTCATACCATCAATATACATCTGATCTATTTTATGACTCTTGAACTGTTGAACATCAGTTAGAAATTGTTTAATGATGCTTCTTCAGTGCCTAATGTCATCAAATATTGGATCAACAATCAGACAAAATATCTGAACATTGATTATTTTCCCTGTTGATTTAGTTGACTCGGGTAGGTATGGGTGGAGTGGGGCCACGACTCATTTATTTAATTATAAAAACACGTATAGCTAATAAGAAAATACAAAATCACTAAAGAACAAAACATATGTTTTTTTTATATTTCATATATTTCATACAAACTTAACGGACAAGCATTAATGGTAACTAGTAATTGGTTAAGTGACCAGAGATGATGGATATGCAAACCAGGACGACCACATCAATTAAAAAAAAACAAACTTGTAGAAAGATGCAAACCGTAGGTACCAAAATTATAATATTCTCTTAATTTAATAATGAAAGGATTTCCAACCGCATGGGCTTGCCCTTTTAGATTTCGATATTTTTTCATTGGAAATAATTTGTTGCAAAATACATTGGATTGCATGGTCCAAAAGTAATGGTTTCTAAAGAAAATGCTGGTTTAGGTGTTGGGTCGCGTAGAGCACAAAACCTTGTGTTGCTTACTAAGTGGTGGTGAAGATTGAAAATGGATCCAAATAACTTATGGACAAAAGTGATTTACAACATTCAAAATCTAATTAGAAATTCGGTCACATATATATCGAAAAAATCAGCTCCTGGTGTATGGTGTGACATTTCTAAAGCCATCAACTGGCTTACTATGTTTGGTATTGATTTGCTTGAATTATTTTGTAACGCCCAAAATCCATGGAATTTTTTTAAAACAGTAGTCCATATAACAATTTTTTCCCAAAAACATTCAAGGTGAAAATAATATTTAAACATCAGAGTAAAAATCATACACAACCAATGCGAAATAAACTCTAGGGAATGTTCTGTAGTCATGCCGAGCCCTTTCCTTTTGAACTAGAAGTACCTGAAACCATAAACGTAAAACTATAAACACAAAGCTTAGTGAGTTCCCCAAAATACCACATACCATACATATCATTGGGCCTAGCCTGCACATTGGGCCCAACCCTTAATAATGGGCCTAACCCTTCCTAATCAATGGGCCCAACCCAACATACAATTAAGCCTAGCCCATCATACAATACGTCTTGAACAATATACAATAGGCCCAACCCTACATGCATACCCATGGGCCCAGCCCAACATATAATTCAAGAGTCACAAAGACAACTAGCATCCTACATAACATATTCTAGTAGGTCGGCATTGTTGCCTTCGACCCACAAGTATAGTGAGGAGACTCACCTCAATCCGAAGATAACTGAATCACACATGCACTGCTGCTATAGGGCTCCTCACACTGAACATATCCAAAATCACCGCTAATCAATAATTAGGGTAATGACCCATAATCAAAGGTCCAATCATATTCTATCATGCTAAGAGGTAAAAGACTATTTTACCCTTCCATACTTGGCCCAACAAATGATGGCCCTAACCCAAAATGACCCAAAGCCCAAAATGGCCCAAATGCCTTCTGGTGAGTACATTTAGCATACCACCTTACTACACCCAACGTACTCCTTGCTTGAAGAAAAGGTAACGGGCTGAAAGTCGTTACACACAACGTACCAGGAGGGTACGCCCAACGTACGCCAACTGAAGCCCAAAATCACTTTCTAAGCTCTTAATACCTTAAGACCTAATGTATAACTCCCAAATCTGATTCTAAGGGATATCTTAAGTCATAAAGTTCCTAAATGTATGACTTTACATGGCTTAATGGAGTCCAAACCAAAGCCCTAGATTCATCTCTTCACCAAAGAAATACTATCTCATTCATGGAAAAGATGTGCCCACCAAGATTCGATTTTCATGACTTAATGACCTCATAAATGGCTAGAAATGATGCTTAAAGGTTCTGGAGTAACTTTTACTCACAAGATCCAAGCCATGGGACCAAAACATGCTCATAACATAACCTAAAACTAAATCTGCACTAAAGAGCCATAAAGTTTTAACCTTTATACCTCCAGAAGAAAGATCAAGATGAAGAAGGTCTTGATCTACAAGCTCCAAGCCAACCAACACTTCTCCAATGAGCTTCTTCTTCTCCAATATGTACCAAGAACACTCCAAATCAATCAAAGGGCTCAAGAATCTCACAAATGGGGCTAGGGTTTCGAGGGAACTACTTTAGAGGATGGAGGCTGAAGATAAGAAGGGTTTCCAAGAGGTTAAGGTCTTTAAATAGGGTCCAAGACCAAAAAATTAGGGTTTGACCTAGCCACGAGTACGCCCAGCGTATTAGAGAGTATCAGCGCGACCAACTTAAGCTAAGTACACTCAGCGTACATGACGTGTACGCCCAAGATATATGCTAAACTTATTCCCACCCTAACTTCCAATGACCATAAGTTATTCGTCCCAACTCTGTTTTCGGTGTTCTTTATATGCTCGAAAAGGTATTGAAGAGCCCCACAAACCCGTCTCATTACTTTTGACTAAAACCATACTGAACTAGGATTCTTAATTCAGGAAAGAAGCCCGTAACATCACTTTTTCCCATATTACCCCTTTGACTCCAAAACTCGAACCGTAGGCTTGGATTACATAACCTATATTACCCACATCCAATTAGGTCTAAACTTTTTCTCCTTCAAAGCCCAAAGCCTTATGTTACTCGATCCACGGATCACGGCCCCGAATTAAGAAACGACCCGAAACAAGGTGTTACAACTCTCCCCTACTTAAATTAGATTTCGTCCTCGAAATCATCCCTCACTACTTCTTCTGCCACACTGGTTGATCCAGACTAAATTTTCCTGAAATCCAAATAGGGCTACGATGTTGCCTCATACCGACGACTTCTCTTCCAATAATGCAATCAAAACCCCAGCCTTAGCAGAAATCATAAACCCTGATGAAGAAACGAGCCTTACCAAACCAATTTTAACCAATAAAGAGTATCCATCAGTACTCTTCCTAAAAATTCAGAAATCCAATAACTTGTCTAGCTTCCCGACCTACAAAACCATTCAGATGCGCAGTAAATATAACCCCACTTCGTAACTCAACCCAACGAAACTCTTCCAACCTTGAATTATCTTGCTGAAACCACTGGAAAATAGAATCCCTGACCATTTATTGTTGCCGAAAGGACCTTCTACTAAGTTGGGATATAGAATCCCCAACATTCTTCCATATTAGACTATCTTGCATAGGGTCACCCCCGTGAGACTCCACCCAAGAGTCTAACTGCTACAGGTTACCTGAGCCTAAATACCACATGGATTCCATCTGTTGATCACAGAGTTACCCTACTCTAAGTGTGATCCAACACCTTAATCAGACTAATTTCTACCGGGTTTCAGCCATACTACCATAACCAAACGGGCATCACCTATGGGT